TTTTCAGGCTGCTCTCAAAGCCTTTGTATCTCGTGACATAAAGCTTCACAAAGTCCCTGGTCGCTGAAGAACACCCCCCTCCAATACAACCAAGTGAGATGAACAAGCAACAGCAAACATTTTCTGGAGGTGAGGTGAAGGACAGATATAGGTATTGATGTGCCCTTGATTCTGCTTTACTAAGCCAGATATTAGGGTCTTCCTCACATTATTACTGATAAAAGAAGAACACAGTAATGCCTAAGGAGAAAGCTTCCCAGAAGCACTGCAGGGACTACTGACTCAGAAGAACCTACACACTAAACACAAGAGGACAGAGAAAGGAAAGAAGTGGCTCCAGCTTCAAGACAGCACACACAGAAAAAAACCAAATCTACCCCAGACCTTTTTTCAGTGTAAGTAATCAACATTACACAAATAAGTTGAGATTCCCACAGAAAACAGATTCTTTACCTTTACAAGAACAACTCTATATTCTAAGATGTATCAGTTAAGAGAATAACCCTAGCTCATGGAAAATACACACTTCTCATCATTCAGATCTGTCACTCAGATCCTACAGTCATTAAGAGTTCTCTAACTTAAAACAATAATGCCACCTATAGCTCTCTTACCTGGACACCAGTGCACATCAGCACAGTTCCAAATGGGAGCTCCTTGCCTAATCCTGTTTTTCTGATGGAGATTTAACATCCTTGGTTATGCTTCCTATAGCTGAAATAATTTACCTCCCTAGAAAGTTTCCAAGAATTTCAATATCTGATGCAATTTTTCTTTAAGGTTCATAAAATCTTCATTACCAGTCATTTTGTTACTGAAGTTACTCACAGTGTGCATTTAAAAACTGCTTAGATATTTTCTGTTAACTTCAGAAGTTATCTAGGAGATGAAAACAAAATACAATGCAAGAGAAAAAGTAATATAAAAATCGGGAGACAGAAAACAGTTGTTTCAGTTACCTTTAAAAGGTATCTAATGTTCCCATTCAAATGAATTTTTAGGGAAAATGCTAAATAATACTCTTGCCAAGTGCGCCCCTGCGTGGTGACCAACGGCTGTGCAAAACCAATTTGCTTCACAGCTCACAAGGGACTTTTCTGGCTCCAAAACCACAGTGAGTCAGTGCTCACACCTGCCCAAGTACTGGGAAAGACTTCTTCTAGCAGAAGCGCCCTAGATGTGTCCCAACATGCTTCCCTATAGGCATATTTTGTAAATTATGGTCAAGGTTAGTTATATATACTTTGCTTTAAAACCTTTAAAACCTCCTCAATATTCTACTTGCGTTTTTCTCCTAAACTTAAAATTTACTGAATAAGAGCATCCCATTGGCTCCAAAAGAAATATAAGGATACGCTGAGTTAAATAAGCAAAAATAATACTTCAAAGGAAGAAAAGAGACACTTATGGCTCAATAGCAAGTTGACAAAGCCCCCTTCATGCAGTCTTTAACAGCACTGTCAAAATTCAGGGTTAGAAGAGAGGTAACAAATGTTTAGGTGTATAAAATAGCAAATGTATTAAAACAAATAACACACACAGAGTAATAGTGAAACATATTGCAAGCCTGTATCCTGCAATAACCAGCTGCAGCATCACATAAAAATTGTTAAAAAACAAAAGTGGAACTTGATGGGACTGTCAGAAAATGTTTGTTCACTTCCAAAATTCATCAGAAAGAATATTGTTCAAACGTGCAGAAAAACAAATTTACACAGAAATAATGCAAGTTCATTGCTATACTTCTTTCTTCTGCGTAGGTAGAATATCACCCCATTCTTCCTATTTTGCCTAGTTTTATTTTTAAATTATTTAATTCCTTTAAAAAGTTCTAATTTCATTAGGATTCAGAGTCTAGTCCACACCATAATCATTCAATCATGAGCAAGCTTTGATTGTAGTCCTTGCATTATTAAATGTGCCAGTTACTACATTGGGACAGACAGATAAGAAAGTGAAAAAAGACCAATCAAAATTAGGGCATTGTATCATAAGAACATATTTTGGTTTTTGACCTCTCCTGGTAAGATTAAACAACACTTAAGTTTTATAAAAAGGCTATTATATCTAACACTGGTTATCAACAGAAAAAGGAGAGAATTAATATATTAAACATTACATTTTTATATTAAGACAAAACTTCTCTTTAATGTATTTTCAGTGTTAACAGGTGTGACTCCATTTTAGATACTGAGAACTTTTAAATGGTTAACATGAGAAATACCTTTACTACATACAGATTAAATTTTTATTTCAGGTGAAGTTAAACCTGTCTCTATCATATTCTTTATCTTTTTTCTGAGTTATTTTTATTATAGAAACATTTACCATCTTCATTTTTTCCCCTAAGAATAAAGTAAGCTGAAAATACTAACCAGAAACAATGGTCCTGGGAACAAAACAGATAACGTTTTGTAAGACAAGGGTATTAAAGTTCTGGTAATGCAGAAAAATGTCCAACAGAGGGTGATAGAGACCATAAATTCATTAGGCACAACTCAGATTATCTGACTTAAAACAAAATTAAAGTAATGTGTAGCTAAGGAAGAGCTCCCAACTAGAAAGGTTTGAATAATCTTCATTACTTGAGAAACATTTTCAGTTAACTGTAAATGCTGACAACTTTTCAGAAAAACATTCTCTTAAGCATCTGACAGTACAAAACTTCAATTATTTGATTCTCTAAGCATTACATCCTTCAGCTACATCCATGTTCACTCGGCAGCATATAAACCACTGTTAAGTAAAATTATTTCATTTATTTTTAACGGTGTTGCTGTTACAGAAGTGGGATACTAAGTCTTGGAGTCCAAGGAGATGGACAATATATGCAACTTAATATAAAAGATAAAAAAGGAGCAACACATGTAATTTTAATACAGATTAATCTATCCTGAAACTTAAAGTACTTTTAAGAAGAATGAAGGACATCTCATCCAACATCAACTTTTCCCAATTGCAAACATGCCATTGACAGTTGAGAGGTAAAGTTTCACCAGATCTGTAGCGCTGACTTTCCAATCTCGTACTGTGGGAATCACTGACACAAAGAGGGAGTCAACAGTGACAGTGCTTTAAAGCACAGTGAAGCTGTAATACTGTGTTTTCCTTTAGTTTGACATATTTCATGTTTCTTTGAATACTCCCTCAAATACTAACTCAAAACTCTGAAAGAAAGAAAAGCGTGGTTTACATATACAAAAAATCTCAACACAACTGTGGTCCAACAGGACAAGTTTCTGTCAGCTGACATACACCTTAATTTTACTGAGGTTGCAAGTAACGAAGGAGTAAATTGCTACAGATCAAGAAAACTGATCACAGAAAGCTGGAAAATGTCTGAATTGAGTTCCTTTCAGAAGAAAAGCACAAACCTTTTAATATTTTAGCTAAATGTGTCTCCCAAAGCCTCCAATGTTCAGCCTCCTGCACAGGCTCAGGTAATATCACTGTGTCTGAGGACTCCCTCAACTCCTTTCACTTCCTCCAGCTCAGGCTCTCATTCCTCTTTGCTGTAGTAGAAGCATTCCCAAGTGCCTTCACCTGGCTTATCATGGCTTTCTCATGGTAATTCATTGTTTATGGGGCACTGGGCACCAGTACAGAAGTGGTTCACTGACTCTAAGAATGACAGACTACATCACTTCACTGAGCAATAAGCACCACTGAGGAACAGCTTCAATAAAACCCAAAATCTGGATGTGTAGATCTATTTTCAACACCTTAGGAAAAAAGAAAGGGGGTGGGTGGGGAGGCGAACAAACACTACAGCAAAAAACCACTTCAGCCTAGGAATCCCTGGCCTTAAAAGAAGGCTGTGATAAGGTCTCACTGCGTCCACATGGGAGGGTAACAGAGCAGATGGAGTCAGACTCTCAGAGATGTGCACACAGAGAGACCAAGGGCACAAACTGCAATAAGGAGAATTTCAATGCAATTTCTAGCCCACACCTCCCATACAAATGTAGCAGTTTATACTTTTGTAGTTGCACAGTACTGGGATGATTGCATGGTAGCTGGTATACTAAAATCTATTTTTCAGAGTCATAGATAAGAAGTGTCATTAAAACAAATTTCTGGCCATTTCTGAATTGGTTTGAGATCAAGGAAAGTTTTAAAGTACAATGAACTTCACACAGCTCTGACATGTACAAAGGAAATTCAAAGCTCTGGCTTTCCTTGCACTAAGAAACACAGACCAGAAACAAACATGGCCTTGTCCAGATGTGCACAAGTAAGAGGAATCTGCACATGCAGAAGACAAGGTTGCATTCATAAGTGATTTCCCCTGGCAAACCAACTATTTAAACCGAACTTGACCTTCACTATTTGAGTTCATGAGTCACATCTGACCCACTTCTGCTTCTTTTGCCAACACATATAGCAAACATCAGCCAAGCGTCAAATGCCCCTTGCTAGGAACAGATTTCTTTTACTAACTTTACTTGAAAGATTACAAACTCCTTTTTGCTTTCTAAACACTGTAACATTTTGTTTAAGATTGCTGCCATCTTGCAGAAAGTGTATTTATTCCTTGCAAAGGGAATCTACACAGTAAACTGCAAAAAGTCAACACAGGGGCTCCTTCTGAATCTGTGAAAAGTAACCATTCACTCAAATATTTTCCAAGAGAACATCACTGCTGAGTAAATGGAGAGCCAGTAAGACCTGAGGCAAATGTGGACCAATCAGAAAAGTTAGACTGGCAGCAGCTGTAAAGCAATCAAGAGAAACCATTCTGCTGCAGACTGAGAAAAATATTTCCACTCTAAAATTGAATCAAAGAAAGACACTGTATTTCTTTATTTAAGCTGAATCCATCCTTTAGCATTCCATTGTTTGTTGTCAGTAGATAGAAACATTAGTTAAGAAAAAACCCAAACCTGTAATAATACGTTTTTCACATCTGCTTTAAAAAAATAAGCTAAATAAAAGAAGTCGAAGACAATACCCCCAGGTCTCGCCAGTGCCCAGCAGAGTGGGCAGGGGCAGCAGCTCACCTTGCACTGCCCTGCCACGCAGATGGCGCTGCCGTTCTGGTCGCAGGGGGTGCCGTCGATCACCGTCTCCGCCTGCCGCACGTAGAAGCGGTACCCGATGGCCCGGCAGTTCAGCTCACACTTCTGGCTTCCCTTCACTGCGGGAAGACACAAAAGTCACCATGACAAATACTTAAAAAGGAAAAGCTCATTAGACTAACAGTAAAGCCTGAGAGGAAGGAACAAACAGGCCAACTGACCACATCGAATGGATGGTGATTGAAAACCAACTCCAAGGTAAGACACAACACACCTCAGTTATTAGTGACAGATACTTCACTAAATGATCATGTGTATTTGTAGTTCCATAACAAATGTTGACCAGTTAGGCTTCTTAAAGCATAATAATATGTTATGGCATTTCATGACTCCTAAGTGGCAGCAAAATTACACTGTAATTGTACAGATGTGCATCAAATGAGGCTCACTGATAGTCACTGGTCAGTTCAGGTCAATTAAGCATAACTACATCCAGCATCAAGAAACATATTAAACAAAACAGATGTAAATTTTAAAAAAATATATTTTTTTCTCTTCATTTTTACAAGTTGCCCTTTAGTGACTATTCCTTAGGTCAGGAGAAAATTAAGGAAAAACCACAAAAACCCTCTTTAATGCTTAAAAATTCATAAAACTCATCATTATGCAAACCCCCAAGACTTCTGCTGACATGCAACAACTAATAGGAAATCAGTCCACTGAACTCTGGGTGAGAGGAACACAAGAGACAAGAAGCAAAAAATGTTATCTTCTCCTGTAAAAATCTGTTCCTTAAACAGATACAGCCTAACACTCCACATATCTCCTGCTATCAGGTTTGTTAACGCATCTGTGTAGCCTTTCTATTGCAAATCATCTGTCACGTCAAAGTTGCTCACAGCTTATTACCCCTATTTGCTGACTGAAATAACAATACCTTCCGTTTCTTTCCAACCACAAGTAGCACTGCTACACAGTGGCAGTGAGGCACAAACAGAAATCCTTCTTCTTTTGACAATACTTTCCCCTCACATCACCAAGCTTCAGCTCATGCCCTAACCTGAAACAGAAACCCACTACTTCATGTGTCAAAGGAGGTGCTGTACACCCCAGATAACTGCTACAACATTGTATTCAAAGGATTTTCTACTTGACTTCGGTGCATTTTTGAATCTTCAGCTAAGACATAACAAAAAGCCAAAATAAATAAATGCAATTATATCAAATATAATATATCAATTATATCAAATATCTGGTTTCTGTAAAAGTACTGAACTTTCAGCTCAGCTTCAGTCACCCCCTGTACAGACCCATTCTGAAATCTGGATCTTCCATTTCCCCTCACCCAGAGATTTAACTGCCACTCATCCACATCATCTACTGTGTCTGGCAATCTTCTGACAAAATCCTTAAAAACCTCTACTAATGTTAAGTGAGGTCAAAGATCTGTTTATCTCATTCCCTTTTTTTGCAGAATTCACGTTCAACAAGGCAATTTTCCATTGGCTACTTTTTTCTAAGATAGATTCACTATCTTATCACTCCAAGGACTTCACTTAGTTACTTAAAAAAAAAAGGGAAACAAAACAAAAAAGCTGAGGTATTTCCTGCAGTTCAATTTCCAAGTGTAACAGTTGGGTTTAATGACAAACTGAGCATTATTCTTAGCAGCTTCATCACTTCACACATAACTATATCCAGAATTCTCAAATAAATACAATCCCGTTTCAGTGATTTATTACAATTTAAGTCAACTTGTCCTTTGCTGTGTCTCAAAGTGTCCTATTTTTATAACATGCAACACCAGCAATCAAGCAGCACCTCTAAAGTGTACATTTTCTTATCTTCCAATTCCCCAAAATCAAGTCAAACAAGCCATTTAGGGTTTCTGAAATATCCTTATCTTTTATGTTGATTGCCCTTAGTTCAAAGTGTCCCGAAACCTCACATTCCTATACTCTTCCTCTCCTGATTCTCTCCCATTTGTTTTTGATGCTTTAAAATATTTATTCTTTAAATTATCAGCTGTCCTTCCAGATCCCAATACAAGTTTTGTGCTACTCAAAGATGAAGAAATTAACTGCTGAAGCACAGAATTTTTGTCTGGACCTGTCTCTTCCTTCACTTCTGCTATGGTAGGTCAGCCCCATGCATTGCTAATGCAGCACAGTAACAATCCCAACCAGACTGAGATGACTTTCTCTGTAAAAAATTATTCCCATTTCATAATTTCTGTGTTTCATTCTTTTTTTATTAGGAACTGTTCCTGCTCATATAAAAAGAAATATTAGAACAGTCACTGGCTTTGACCTCAAATCAATCAATCAGACTTTAATGACAAACAAACCCTATAACCCTTTAGCCTTTGGTATTCAGATTCTTTTGATAAGGTATTACCTTGTTTAGGCATATACCAATTGCTGCTACCTAAAGACAATGTTTCCAGACATGAAAGATGCAAAAAACCTTCTCTACAAAGAGCAAAATCTGTTAACTGAATCGCCCCTGTTGAATGAGGGGCATTTCCCACAGGATTTTATGTCAGCATTATGTATTATTGTGTATGATGTAGAAATTACAGAACACATTTTAGAATTCCCATGTAAAACAAGACACCACAGTATTAAAAACTACTCCACTGCTTATTAACCTCACACTTATGCTGACACCCTCCTCTACCCTGTTTTTTGCCACAACTCTTGAGGTTTTATAGTTTAAGCAGTAGGTCAAGCTGCACTATTGGCTTGGCAACTGGACATAAAATGTCAGTTAAACAAGGAGCTGTGAAGTGATTGATTCCACACAGGCACGATTTTTGAGCACCGTGTCATCTGATCCCAGACTTTACAAAAGGATCTATCTGACCTCTGGGAACACAGTAAGGCTTGTAGGTGAAGACCTTCCAAACTAGCTGGCAGCAAGACACATTTCCACAAAAAAAAAAAAAAAAGGGCTCTTTTAAGTGACACATTTACTAAGACAGTTCAATATATAGGTACTGTTCAACATGTCCTCTTAATGTATTTGCTTTTCATTCACATGCCCACCTCAGCACAAGCAAGTCTTTGTGGAAATTCACACCTTATCCTACCTTATTAAAAAGTGAACTTGGGTGAAATTTAATGCTACCACACAGGTTCTACCAGACACAGTCATTATTGATTTAACTAAAGAAGGTGCCTTTGGTAAATAAACCTGGTAACATGTAATGTTTGGTTTTCATTTCACAGACTAAAAAAGTATCTCAGTCAAAAAAATCAGTACTTTTCTCTCAAAGTCTCAGGGATATCCTGGTCTTCTCTGAACTGCAAGACTCAGGAGGTTTTTTTCAAATCCTCTGCTGAAACTTACCTTCCACATTTCTTTACGAGGAGTAAGACCCAGCCATGCTAAAACAGGGCCTCAGCACAGTTCCCTCCCTTTCCGCTTCACCAGCAAGGACACTGAGACTTCATGTTTCATTACAAACTGCACCTGCTGTGCATCATAGGGCAGCCATAGATGTTATCACACTATAATCAGTGGCTGGAGTTCAAAGTGGGTTTTCAGCAGCATTTCAGGCTGAGTTGTCTCCGCTGACCCTCTGGAGGGACAGCAGCAGCACGTCCGCTGGGAAGCACGAGGGAGTAAGGGACAAACTGTCCTCCACTGGGATTCAAAGGTTGACACTCAAAGAATAATCCTGATCTTTTAATCCCACTACTGAGAATGCACAGGTTTGTCCAAGCCCACGACATGCTCCCAGCTCGAGGCAGTGTCACCCTGACGGGGCTGAACAGGCCCAGCACTGTGGGCAGGCCTGGCCACCGCCGGCGCCTCAGGGCGAGGGCAGCACCTGCCAAACACGGCAGGGCCTGAGGGGGAAAACTCCCTCGAGAGACACTGAAACAACTGGGCCAATAACCAAAACTTCCCTGCAGCTGAACACACTTGTTCTTCTCTGGGACTTGCCCCGGGCCCAGCCATTCCCAGGAGCACAGCTCTGCCCGTGCTGCCTCCGAGCAGGTTGGGCCCTGAGGGAGCTGATGGCCACAAGGAAAGCAGCCAGGGCCGGGCAGTGCTGGCAGCAATGGTGTCGTGTGCGGGGGGCAAATCAGCCTCTCTGCACCACCTCACTCCCATCCCACTGAGACTGGCACTCACTGGTTTCCTTAAATGAAAGTGTAAAAAATCAGTGACCTCACAAAACGCCCAGCTCAAATCTAAAGCCCACGCACGGTTGAAAAGGCAGAAAGTCACCCCTTTGGAAACATTCCCACTTGAGAGCTTATGAATAGACCTGTTTGCATTTCACTGAGAAAGAGTATTTCCAAATGCTAACACTGTGCTGAGCTGCCCTGGTGCCACAGTGAGTGGCACAGTGCCCAAATTGCAGCCGCCTTCCCTGGCGCTGGGTAGGGCTGGCACAGCCCAGGGCAATGTGTGTGGCTGCACATTCCACCTGTCACAGGAGCAAAACCTGCCAGCCCTGCACAGCTCCTGTCTCCACTCTCTGCTCAGACCTTCCACCTCCTGATCCCGCACACCAAAGCACATGCAGGGAGAGCATTTGGATTTCATGTCAGCTCTTCCCTGCCTTCATCTTCTGCCACCTTCACCGATCCCCAGCGCAAGGAAAGGCCGCAGGAGGCACAGGCATGGTGGATAAGGAGGCCAAGCTGTGGATGACCTACTAGGCAGCAAGCTTGAAGAGATACAGAGAGAGCTTGGCAGGCAGCTTGCCAATGCACGGAATTTCAATCTAATGATATTCTTAGGAAAAAATGTTACAAGAAAGAGCGTTCCAACCACAATACCTTTGATAAATAATGTATTTGGTTGTTCAAAGGGAAATTAAAAATAACCACAGACCAAAAAAACCCCCAGGAAATAATGCCCAAGTCAAATCAGAATGCAAGTGATCAGTGAACTGATGACACCGTGCACAATCAGACACTGACTGCCCTGACAGAAGGTACCGAGTTCCTCCTTGCTGTCTCAGCTCCTGAGACTGCAGCTGCTTGGAGCATGTACTGTCTGTCATGGCACACACATCGAATCTCCTGCCACAGAGAACACTGACTGTAGGTGCAATTACAATAAATGATACAACAAAGGAATTTCATGTTCCCCATGCTGT